AACAGGGCTTCTGATAAGAACCTCAGAATTACAGAGAGAAAATAGTGCTCTTGACTTGTATCTGATCCAAGTGTAGTTGGACTGAGTTTCCTTCTCTGCTTGGGTAAGTTTAGGAGTTTTCAGCCTCCTTAGCACAGGCAACACATTTGAACTGAAATATCATTTTACATTTATGGTTCTGGGTTTGGGGGGGACGGGAGCAACTGATACAGAATGACTTCTATAGCAAGCCTCTCTTTCCCAAATCCTACCTGCAACTTCTCCTGTCTTAGCCCCAAAAGATGCTTTGCTGTTTCATGGGTTACATTTTGGTTGTTTTGCCTAAATCTATCTGGAGGGTTTTTCTGTTCTCTGAAATTTTTAGTATTCTAGAAGAAAATGCCAAAAAGAACACTGTCTGCTGCCGAAATCCTGATGGAAACATAAGCTCGTAAGGAGCAGGAATCTGTGCAGTGTTTTTATTTCACCACTGTTGGCATCTCATCTCTCTTCCCCAAATTGCTCACCTTAGGAATTCCTCTTTCATTTCTCTTTTCCAACTTATGCGTAATGTAATATGTATATTCAGTTCACTTCAGTCACTCAGTCATGCCCAGCTCTTTGCAATCCCATGAACTGCAGCAAACCAGGCCTCCCTGTCCATCAACAACTCCTGGAGTTTTCTCAAACTCATGTCCATTGAGTCGGTGATGCCATCCGATCATCTCATCCTTTGTCATCCCCTTTTCCTCCTGCATTCAATCTTTCCCAGCATCAGTGTCTTTTCAAATGAGTCAGTTCTTTGCATCAAGTTGTCAAAGTAATAGAGTTTCAGCTTCAGCATCAGTTCTTCCAATGAATATTCAGGACTGATTTCCTTTAGGATGAACTGGTTGGATTTCCTTGCAGTCCAAGGGACTCTCAAGAGTCTTCTCCAACACCACAGTTCAAAAGCATCAATTCTTCGGCGCTCAGCTTTCTTTATAGTCCAACTCTCATATCCATACATGTAGTCATGTAATATCTATAGATGTTTGCCTATAATATGTGCATCTATTTGTAGGCGTGTGTATTATACAGATATGAGAGTTACAGAGGAGATTAAAAGCTACCAAATCATCTTTCTTTGCATCTGCCTTTAATTACAGAATAACCTTCTCCTATAGATAATCTCAATTGTTGGTGTTTTGTGTAGTTGTGTATACATTTGTATGGTCCTTTTATATGTTTCTCCTTCATGGGGCAAAGGGTGGGCAACATTTTCAGTTTGAAATTTGAGTAACCACAAAGTCAGAGGAACAGTCCATTGGGAACTAAAGAAAGAAAAAAGAACAGATCAAGGAGGGGAATTAAAATGGGACGTGAAGAAGCTATATCGAAAGAGGGAAGTTGTTGTACAATGAAGAATTTGTGGGTCTTTGTCCCAGATTGTTGGCCTGGAGCTTCTGAAACTCTTGGTAATAGAAGTGTCTTTGTTATTCATCAGCTCCTCAGAGCAAATCTGAGTTTATGCTAATGAAGTGACTCCTGGTAGTGATGGTTGGTGGTGGGTTCTTAGAGAGAATGGAAGCTGATGCCGAAACCATGGTCTCAGTGTTCTGGTGCCAAATGGACTCTCAGAGACAGTTTGGGCTGAAGTAGAAAAGAATAGTCTTATTGCTTTACCAGGCGAATGGGGACACTGGAGTGGGCCTTTGCCCTTGAAATTATGTATCCCAACTCAGGGGAACTTGGTGAGGAGTTTTATAGCAACGATTCAAGAGCAGGATTGCTGATAAGGATCAGATATGTGTCTGGGGGCTGGGGCAGGGGTTGGGGGGTGCTCTGCATCCCTTTAATTTGGCCTCAGGTGGTCTCCTATCTTCTCTGAAGAATGCTTCCTATAGTAGTTAGCATCTTCCATTGGGAGGGGAGGGAGTTTAGTTCTACAGAAAACCTCAAGGGTATTGTTATGTGTATCCCTTATTGTTGTTGTTTAGTCGCTAAGTTGTGTCTAACTCTTTTTGTGACCACATGGACTGTAGCCCACCAGGCTCCTCTGTCCGTGGGATTTTCCAGGCAAGAATACTGGAATGGATTGCCATTTCCTTCTCCAGGGCATCTTTCTGACCCAGGGATCAAACCTGCTTCTCCTACATTGCAGGCATATTCTTTACTGCTGAGCCACTGAAGAAGCCCAAACAAGAAGTGGGGGACACAGAAAGCCTTCTGTGCCCAGGAACCCCACAGGGTCCTGCTCAGTTTTAAGACAGGTCACCAGAAGAACCAACCGCCAGAAGAACCAACCACATGATTAGAGGTTTGGCCTTTGAGACAACCCAACCTCCAGAGAAGGGAGAGGCAGGGGATTGAGTTCAATCTCATGGCAAATGATTTAATAAATCAAATGTACTTGGCTCAATGGACATGAGTGTGAGGAAACCCTGGGAAATAGTGAAGGACAAGGGATCCTGGCCTGCTGCAGTCCATGGGGTCGCAAAGAGTCAGACATGACTTAGTGACTAAAACAACAACAAATCTATTCAATTAAACTGCGGTCAACACTTTAGACACTGGCTTGGTGATCTTGGTGGTTGGTGAATGCATCAATACGATGGGGTTGGGAAGTATGATGTGCCCTGATTCCATGGGGAGAGGACATGGAAGCTCTGCATTTGAGGTCCTCCCAGTTCTTGCCCTATGTGTCTCTGTGCTAGGCTGTCACACTAGAGGCTGTTATTAAAGGGACCTTTAATCTATGGAGTCTGCACTGTGGGTGGTGAGTGCTAGGACTGAGCTGAAGTACTCCAGGATGTGACCAGATTGCTGGTGACAGAGCAAAAGTAAAGATGGAAACATCAGGAGGTGCTGGCCCATTTGGTCTCCTCACCAGTCGAGGCCTGGTCATATAGACAAGCACTGGACTCAGTAAGTGGTCTTCAGGAAGCCAAGCCTGGGCACATCTATATAGACACAGGTCCCCAGTACAGTCACAGGGGCAGCTTCCCAGAGCAGCTGCCTGTAATCCTCAGAGAAAACTTTCACCACATTTATGTCTATCTGGTCACCATGTTATAAGTTTAAATGTATCCATTTTTAAAATAAATATTTTCTTTAAAAAAAAAGTATCTATTTCTTTAGGGCTTCCCTGGTGGTTCAGTGGTAAATAACTCATCTGCTAATATAGGAGACATGGGTTCTATCTATGGATTGGGAAGATTCCCTGGAGAAGGAAATGGCAACCCACTCCAATATTCTTGTCTGGGAAATCCCATGGACAGAGGAGCCCTGACTTTGCAATCCACGGGGTCACAAAAGAGTCCAACACGATTTAGCGAATAAAACAACAACTATTTATTTATTTCTGGCTGCGTCAAGTCTTAGTTGTCATGTGTGGGCTTCCCTCTAGTTTTGGCAGCCAGGTTTAGTTTCCCCAAGGCATGTAGGATCTTAGTTCCCTTGACCAGGGATCCAGCCCACATCCCCTACATTGGAAGGTAGATTCTTAACCACTGGATCATCAGGGAAGTCCCTAATTTTTATTTTTAAGATAGAATGCTTTTAAAGTTTATAGAGACCAGAGGCCAGAGGTGGCAAGACAGGGTGGCAGAAAAATGGGGACAACAAATTGCCTTCTGTGGGAAGCAGGTACAGGCATATCTTGGAGATATTGCAGGTGTGGTTCTAGGTCACCACGATACAGCAGACATCACTATAAAATAAATCACACACATTTTTTGGGGGGGTGGTTTCAGTGCATATAAAAGTTGTATTTACACTATACTATAGTCGATTAAGTGTGCAGTATTATTAAGTCTAAAAAAAGTATGTACCTTAATTTAAAAAATGCTTTACTGCTGAAAGATGCTAAGCATTATTTGAGTCTTTAATGAGTTCTCCAGTGGAGCAGTGGTAAGAATCTGCCTGCAATGCAGGAGCCACAGGAGATTCAGTTTCGATTCCTGAGTCGGGAAGATCCCCTGGAGGAAGGCATGGCCACCCACTCCAGTATTCTTGCTTGGAGAAGCCCGTGGATGGAGGAGTCTGGTACCCTACAGTCCATGGGGTCACAAAGAGTTGGACATGACAGAAGGAACTTACCACACATCAGTATTTTTTCTGGTGGAAGATCTTGCCTCCATGTTGATGGCTGATCAGGGTGGTGGTGGCTGAAGTTTGGGATCACTGTGACAATTCTTTAAAATAAAATAAAAATGAAGTTTGCTGCATCGATTGACTCATCCTTTCATGAACAACATTTCTTCTGTAGCCTGCAGTGCTATTTGAGAGGATGTTACCAACAGTAGAACTTTCAAAATTGGAGTCAATCGTCTCAAACCCTGCCCCTGCTTTATCCACTAAGACTACATAATATTCTAAGTCCTTTGTTGTCATTTCAACAACCTTTAAATTTTTTTTTAACCAGGAGTAGATTCCATCTCAAGAAATCACTCTTTTTTTGCTCACTCATTAGAAGCAGCTTCTCATTCATTCATGTTTTTATACTCAAGTTTTATCATGAAACAGCAGCAATTCAGTTACACCTTCAGTCACCACTTCTAATTCTAGTTCTCTTGTCGTTTCCACTACATTTGTAGTTACTTCCTCCACTGAAATCTTGACCCCCTCAAAGTCATCCACCAGGATTGGAATCAATTTCTTCTGAACTCTGGCTGATGTTGATATTTTGATCTCTTCCCTTGAATTGTGAATGATCTTATGGCATCTAGAACGGCAAGTCCTTTCCAGAAGCTTTTCAATGGACTCTACTCAGATCCAAGAGAAAACTCACTATCGGGTCTATAGCCTTACAATATATATTTCTTAAATAATAAGACTTGAAAGTCAAAATTAATCTTTGATTCATGGGCTGCAGAATAGATGCTGTGTGAAAGCGTGAAGTGAAAGTGTTAGCTGCTCAGTCATGTCCAACTCTTTGTGATCCCATAAACCATAGCCCTCTGTCCATGGAATTCTCCAAGCAACAATGCTGGAGTGGGTTGCCATTCCCTTCTCCAGAGGATCTTCCCCACCCAGGGATTGAACCAGGTCTCCTGCATTGCAGGCAGATTCTTCACTGTCTGAGCCACCAGAGAAGCCCAGATGCTATGTGAGCAGACACGAAAACAAAATTAATCTTATTGTACATCTCCATCAGAGCTCTAGGGTGACCAGGCACATCATCAATGAACAGTACTCTTTTGAAAGGAATCTTTTTTCTTCACAGTAGGTAGGTCTCAACAGTGGGCTTAAAATATTCATTTAACTGTTGTCAGCCTATGTGCTATTACCCAGGCTTTGTTCTCCCATTTATAGAGCGCAGGCAGAGTAGACTTAGCCTAATTCTGAGCCCTGGGATTTGGGGAGGGGTAAATGAGCACTGGCTTCAACTTCATCAGTCCATTAGCCTCTAATAAGAGAGTCAGCCAGTCCTTTGAAGCTAGAAATTAACCTTTCCTCTTTAGCTATGAGAGCCTTAGATGACATCTTCTTCCAACCTAAGACTATTTAATCTCCATTGAAAATCTGTTTACTGTTGCCGCCTGTATTAATGATCTTCTGGATAACTTGCTGCAGCTTCTACATCAGCACTTGCTGCTTCATCTTGCACCTCTACATTTCAGAGATGCCTTCTTTCCTTAAACCTCATGAATAAAGCTCTGTTAGCTTCAGACTTTTCTTCTGCAGCTTCCTCACTTCTCTTAGAATAGAACAGAATCAGGACCTTACTCTCGATGAGGCTTTGATTTAAGGGAGTGCAGCACATTTGATCGTCTATCTAGACCACTCAGACTTTCTCCACATCATCAACAACGCTGTTTCACTTATCATTTGTGTGTTCACTGCAGTAGCACTCTTAATTTCCTTCAATAACTTTTCCTTAGCCTTTACAGCTTGACTAACTGTTTAGCACAAGAGGCTTAGCTTTCAGCCTATCTCAGCTTTTGAAATGCCTTTCTCACTGAGCTTAGTTATTTCTAGCCTTTGATTTAAAATGAGAGATTTATGACTCTTCCTTTCTCTTGAACACTTGGTCTTCAATATTATTATCAGAGACTAGAAAAGCTCAAGGATAGGGAGAAAGATGGGGGAATGGCTCATCAGTGAAACAGTCAGAACACTCACGTTTATCTATTAAGTTTGCGATCTTAAATGGGTGTGGTTCTTGGAGCCCCAAACAATCGCATAGTAACTTGAAAGTTTGATCACAGGTCACCATAACAAATATGATAATAATGGAAACATTCAAAATGAATTACCAAAATGTGATACAGAGACGTGGAGTGAGCAAATGCTATTGGAAAAATGATGCCTATAGACTTGCTTGGTAAGGGGTTGCCACTAAACTTCAATTTATAAAAAATGCAAACTCTGTGAAGAGGAACAAAATGAGTTTTGGCTGGACTAACATCATGAGGTAATGATCTTACGTGAATCCATATTCCCTCAAAGGCAGGGGTCCTTTATCTTTTGAGATTATTTAAAAGAACATTGTGATAGAAAGTATAGATTCTTACCCATAAAATTCATATACAAATGCAATTTTGTTTACACCTTTAAAAGGTTCAAAGACCCCCCTGAAACTTGTCCATGGTGGTCTGGTACATTGATTCAAGGTGGGGAGCTCCATGTGTTATGTAAGAGTATGGATTGATGAGAGCCAGAGATACCCGAATTCAAAGTAATAACTGCAGCACTCCTTTGCATTTACACTTGAGTATTGTTGCCGCCTGTATTAATGATCTTCTGGATAACTTGCTGCAGCTTCTACATCAGCACTTGCTGCTTCATCTTGCACCTCTACATTTCAGAGATGCCTTCTTTCCTTAAACCTCATGAATAAAGCTCTGTTAGCTTCAGACTTTTCTTCTGCAGCTTCCTCACTTCTCTTAGAATAGAACAGAATCAGGACCTTACTCTCGATGAGGCTTTGATTTAAGGGAGTGCAGCACATTTGATCGTCTATCTAGACCACTCAGACTTTCTCCACATCATCAACAACGCTGTTTCACTTATCATTTGTGTGTTCACTGCAGTAGCACTCTTAATTTCCTTCAATAACTTTTCCTTAGCCTTTACAGCTTGACTAACTGTTTAGCACAAGAGGCTTAGCTTTCAGCCTATCTCAGCTTTTGAAATGCCTTTCTCACTGAGCTTAGTTATTTCTAGCCTTTGATTTAAAATGAGAGATTTATGACTCTTCCTTTCTCTTGAACACTTGGTCTTCAATATTATTATCAGAGACTAGAAAAGCTCAAGGATAGGGAGAAAGATGGGGGAATGGCTCATCAGTGAAACAGTCAGAACACTCACGTTTATCTATTAAGTTTGCGATCTTAAATGGGTGTGGTTCTTGGAGCCCCAAACAATCGCATAGTAACTTGAAAGTTTGATCACAGGTCACCATAACAAATATGATAATAATGGAAACATTCAAAATGAATTACCAAAATGTGATACAGAGACGTGGAGTGAGCAAATGCTATTGGAAAAATGATGCCTATAGACTTGCTTGGTAAGGGGTTGCCACTAAACTTCAATTTATAAAAAATGCAAACTCTGTGAAGAGGAACAAAATGAGTTTTGGCTGGACTAACATCATGAGGTAACGATCTTATGTGAATCCATATTCCCTCAAAGGCAAGGGTCCTTTATCTTTTGAGATTATTTAAAAGAACATTGTGATAGAAAGTATAGATTCTTACCCCCAAAATTCATATACAAATGCAATTTTGCCTACACCTTTAAAAGGTTCAAAGACCCCCCTGAAACTTGTCCATGGTGGTCTGGTACATTGATTCAAGGTGGGGAGCTCCATGTGTTATGTAAGAGTATGGATTGATGAGAGCCAGAGATACCCGAATTCAAAGTAATAACTGCAGCACTCCTTTGCATTTACACTTGAGTACGTAACCAAGCCATACCTTTCAGGATTTGGGAAAAATCACACTTGATATAAAAGGAATATCTGATAAGTAGTAGCTGTTACATTCCTGAAAACTCATTTGCTAATAATATGCATGTGTGTTAGAGGATTTCTTTTCCTTCTTGTTTTTTTGAACATTGTTTTTCTCTGCTTATTTATGTATAGGTATACTCATTGTTAAATAAAATAGAGAAGTTTATAATGAAGAAAATATAAGGCCCATAAAATTTCATCATCCAGAGAAACCAGTGTAAGTTCTTTAATCTATTTTCAATCAACAGGCAAACATTTCCTGTATCAATAATATTGATTTATATGACTATTTAAATGCATAATATTTTGCATAGTATGCCATTTGCATAATCTCAGAATTTATTAAACCAACGTCCTATTGATGAATATTATTTTCAAATGTTAATTATTGTAAATAATACAGTGATAAACTACCTAATGTATATGCCCATGAAAGCTGTTGTTTTTCCCCTTTAGAAAACATTTTGGAAATATAATTTCTTAGTCAAAGGCTATGTGCATTTTGTATTTTGAAAAATATTGCCAAGCATACTCTTGAAAACTTAGACCAAGTTACTTTCATACCAGTAGGGCACAGAAATAGGAATACGGCCAAATTCTAATAACAATATACACTATGTAAATCTTTCCAATATTTCACAAACTAACAGATTAAACAAATAATTTTAAAAGCTCCTCTTTATCTGTGTTTCTTTGATTAATTAGTATTTTTGGATATTTAGCATCTTTTGCTCCTTGTCTTTTTTTTTTTTTTGAGGGAGGTTTATTTATTTTGTTGTTCTTTTCCCCCAGAGATGATTGTCTACTGGGGATATAAAATATTTGCCTGGTATCAACAGTTTTGTCTTCCAATTTCCACTATTTTTTCAAATTTGTTTATGATTTTATTTTTACATAGATGTTATTTTATGGTTACTGTTTATGATTATTTTAATTCTTGGTCAAATATCACAAGCATCTACAAGTAACAGCTCTCTCTTTCTGACTTATCTATTCATTTTCCTCATAGATGATATTGTCTTTTAAAAATTGTGTGATACTGAATCCAACTACTGATACAAAAATTTTGCATATGATGAGATGATGGGAATCAATTTTCATTTCCTTCAAATGAAAAACTAATTGATTTAAAGTCGAGCCCCTCCTCACTAACTGAAATACCCTCTGGAAGAGAATGGAAATCCACTTTTCCATTTATGTGGAGATCACTTTCTGCTCTTTCCATTTGTCTATTGATCTAATACTGTATAGCTTTGTTAGTCACTCAGTCATGTCCAACTCTCTGTGGCCCTGTGGACTGTAGCCCCCAGGCTCGTCTTTCCATGGGATTCTCCAGGCATGAATACTTGATTGCGTAGCCATTCCCTTCTCCAGGGGATCTTCCCAACCCATGGATTGAACCTGGGTCTCCTGCACTGCAGGCAAATTCTTTACCGTTTGAACCACCAGGGAAGTCATTCCACCAAGGAGGCTTTACCATGCCTTATCAGTCTCGATACCTGGTAAGAAATGATGATGAAGGAGGTGGGAATACCAGACCACCTGACCTGCCTCTTGAGAAGCCTGTATGCAGGGCAGGAAGCAACAGTTAGAACGGACATGGAACAACAGACTGGTTCCAAATAGGAAAAGGAGTACGTCAAGGCTATGTATTGTCACCTTGCTTATTTAACTTATATGCAGAGTACATCATGAGAAACGCTGGGCTGGAGGAAGCACAAGCTNTCCATCTAGTCAAGGCTATGGTTTTTCCAGTGGTCATGTATGGTGTCAGAGTTGGACTATAAAGAAAGTTAAGTGCTGAAGAATTGATGCTTTTGAACTGTGGTGTTAGAGAAGACTCTTGAGAGTCCCTTGGACTGCAAGGAGATCCAACCAGTCCATCCTAAAGGAGATCAGTCCTGGGTATTCATTGGAAGGACTGATGTTGAAGCTGAAACTCCAATATTTTGGCCACCTGATGTGAAGAGTTGACTCATTGGAAAAGACCCTGATGCTGGGAGGGATTGGGGGCAGGAGGAGAAGGGGACGACAGAGGATGAGATGGCTGGATGGCATCACCGACTCGATGGACATGAGTTTGTGTAGGCTCCAGGAGTTGGTGATGGATAGGGACGCCTGGCTTGCTGCAGTACATGGGGTTGCTAAGAGTCAGATACGACTGAACTGAACTGAAGAAAGTATCAAATATCAAATGTCAAAAAATCAAATATCTCCTTTGATTGATTCAGAAATGTCCTGTCCATTGGAGGTTTATACTAGCAAAAATTTAGTTAAAAAAGAAAAAAATCTTTGGGATTTTTCGTCTGAACTAAGTTGTTATGCAGATCCGTAAAGGAAGATCTGAAAGCTTTGCAATCAATGCTGAGTCTGATTTTTCATAAAAGAGATATCTCTACATTTATTTAGTTTTTATTTAATTTCTTTCAAACAGTGTATGTGATATTCTACATTAAGTTCTCCACATAATTTGTTAGTTTCATACCATAAGTAATTAATATTTTTGACTGATCCAGTGATGCGATCTTTTTAAAAAATGACTCAATCTACACATTTATAGCCAATATAATAAATGTAATTGAGTTGTGTATAAGATGCAAAAAACATGGACAAATTTTATTCACTCAAATGTTATTCATTTTTCTATATTTGTGAATTATTTTTGTTTCCTAGGTCAATGATGTTAAACAGTCAATGGTAGCAGTTTTCTTTCTTGCTCCACAGGCCTCATCTCCCTTCCCGCCCTGCCCCCCTACCCCAGAACCTCAGTGGTAATAAAAGAGAGTAAGAATGAAAATTCTTTTAGTATTCTTGATTTTGAAGTAAATAAAGTTTTACAATTAAACTTGATATTGATATTTTCATGTTTTAGCAAATGCTACTAGAAAAGATGGAGACAGTTCCAAGTTCCTCTCTATTCCTGATCTATCAAGAAATGCTATAATTAAGTAGTGGTTATTCTTCTGAGGTTTTTTTTTTTAATTTTTTTGGTCTGTTCAAGTGTTCATATGGTTTTTTTGTCCTTAATCTGTTACTATTAAAAATAACATTTGTTGATTTTCTAATTATAAGCTATTCTTACATTAGTTTGAAAAAACAATTATGCATATTTCATTAACATATTCTCCACACTTTTCTTGGTTTACTGATAATTTGTTTAAAAATTTTGCTTCTATATTTATAAGCAATGTTATCACATAATGTTTCTTTCTCATACCATTCTTGCTCATTTTTAAATACCATGTTAGAGATGTTTTAATTTTAGACAGTTAGCATCCAGTACAGATGTGAGATTTGACCAAAAAGAAGGCTGAATGCCACAGAATGGATGCTTTCAAACTGTGATGCTGGAGAAGACTCTTGAGAGTCTCTTGGATTGCAAGATCAAACCAGTCAATCCTAAAGATCAACCCTGAATATTCATTGAAAGTATTGATGCTGAAGCTGAAGCTCCAATATTTTGGCCACCTGATGTGAAGAGCCAGCTCATTGGAAAAGACCCCAGTGTTAGTAAAGATTGAGGGTAAAATGAGAAGAAGGGTGACAGAAGATGAGATGGTTAGATAGCATCAATGATTCAATGGACAGGAACCTGAGCAAACTCCAGGAGATAGTCGAGGACAGAGGAGCCTGGTGTGCTGCAATCTATGGGGTCACAAAGAGTCAGATATGACTTAGCGACTGAACAACAAATTACCCTAATACCAAAACCAAACGGGGACATCACAAGAGAGCAAAATTACAGACCAATATCCATGATGAATGTAGATGAAAAAGTCTCCATCAGAATATTAGCAAACCTAATTTAACAATATAGAGGACATATGCCATGATCAATGAGATTTATTCCACTGGTGTAAGGATGATTCAACACATGCAAATCAATCAATGTGATGTGTCACATGTACACCCATGGTGGATTCATGTCAATGTATGGCAAAACCAATACAATATTATAAAGTAAAAAAAAAAAAAAGAATGTTAAAAAAAGTATTCTCAATAGATACTGAAAAACATATGACAAAATTCAAATTTATTCATGATAAAAATCTCTCAATGATGTAAGTATAGAGGGAATATACCTCAACATAACAAAGGCTGTCTATGACAAGCCCACATTTAACATCATTTTCAATGGTGGAAAGCTGAAAGCTTTGCCTCTAAGATCAGAAACAAGACAAGGATGTCCATTCACACCTCTTTATCTAGCATAGTACTGGAGGTCCTAGCCAGAGCAATCAGACTGGAAAAAGGAATAAAAGAAATTCAAATCAGAAAGGAAGAAAAAAAACTGTCACTGCGGATTACATGAGATCATATACAAGCAATCTTAAAGCCTTCACCAAACAAAAATAATTGTTACAACTAATAAACAAATCCAGTTAAGTTGCAGGATACAAAATCAATATACAGAATTTCCCCATACCAAGCAGTTCTCAGACACCAGAATTCAACTCAGTTCTGGCACTATCTACCTAAAGACAGCATCAGAGTTCACAGGTCACGGGTTCAGTCCCACAAGACTGCGCCCCCCACCACTGCAGATGCCAGTCACAAGTCTCCATTTTACCTGTGTGTCTGACCAATTAATTGGCTCTAAAGCATAAATTTCCAAAGCCCCTTCTCAGGTTTGATTAATTTTCTAGAGCAGCGCAGAGAACTCTGGAAATCCATACACTCACTAGCTTATTGCTTATTGGTTTATTACAAAGGATACCTCCACAGTGGCTCACTGGTGAAGAATGCAATGCAGGAGACCTGGGTTCAATCCCTGGGTCTGGAAGATCCTCTGGAGAAAGAAATGGCAACCCACTCTCATAATCTTGCTTAGAGAAGCCTGGCAGAGGACAGAGGAGTCTGGCAGGCTACAGTCCACGGGGTTGCAAAAGAGTCAGACAAGACTGAGACTAAACAATAATAACAAAGGACACTAAACAATGTGAATCAACAGCCAGATGAAAAGACACATAAGGCAAGGATCCCAAACAAAGGAGATCTGTCTCATGGAGATGGTAGCACAGGGAACCATTCTGGTCCACCAACTTGAAAGCTCTCCAAACACCATCTTTTTGGGTTACTATGGAATAGGTTTCATTACCTAGGTATGACTGATTAAATCACTGGCCATTGGCTATTGATTGAAATTCCGGCCCCAGACACGACTCAGTGACTAAGCACTGTATATCCACACAGTAACATCTTTATCATTTTAAGTCTTTCCATATTTGAACATGATTTATTCACCCATTTATTTGGGTCTTCTTTAATTATTATCAATAATGCTTTGTAGCTTCTACTGTAGAATCTTGCACATTGATCACTAGACTTATTTAAATTTTTATGCTTTTATAAACAGCACATTTTCTTTTAAATTTTCACTTATATTTGTTTGTATAAAAATAGATTTTTGGTTGATTTTAGCCAGGCATTTTGTTAAATTCATTATTAATTCTAATAGTCTACAGACCATCATTTGTACATAGTCATAGCATATCTGAATCATTACCACTTTATTTCTTCTTTCTAATTTTCTTAATATACTTTTTGTTTCTTTTTCTTACTTATTGCACTTTCAATGACCACAAGTTCAGGGCTGAATAAAACTAATGATATTAAGTGCAATTGTTTTCCTCCTAAATTCAGGGGGAAAATCTTTACTGTTTGGCAAACAAAATGATATTTGCTTTTAGTTATTTTTAATATAACTTATTAGTGTAAAGAAACTACCTTCTATTCTTAATTTATTTTTTTAATAGAGCTTGAAGTTTATGAAGTGCTTTTATTGCCTCTGTCAAAATAACATGATTTTATTTTTCTCCTCCTATCATCAATTATGATAATTAATTTTTGAAGTCTAACTATTGTTGAATATCTAGAATGAACTCCATTTGGTTCACAATATATTGAATATTATACTTTTTATATATTATTGGATTCTATTTGCTCACATTATATTATTTTTGCTTTCTTGTTTATAAGAGAGATTTGTCTTTATTTCCCTTGTAATGTTCTGGTCAAGATTTATAATCCAGGTAACATGTTTTTTTACATTAATTTTGAAAGGTTCACACTTTTCTCTGAAAGAAAATTTTCAATATAGAAATGCTTCATCCATAAATAGTTTATAAGTTACTGATTAAATTATCAATACCTGAAGTTTATTATTAAATTATTACTTTGTATTTAAATACACTGTTGATTAGTAGATATAGGGATCTTTCAACTTCTTTTTGTTTTAAATATTGGTAAACTGTTTACTTTTTAAGGGTATATTAGTCAAGACCGACTGCACTAATGCTAAACAACTCTGAAACTAAGCGGCTGGCCACAAGCTTCTGTTTTTGTTCTGATTTTCACAGATGTGTAGGTTCTGCTGAACTCAGTGAGGCTTGCCTCCCTGCTGCAGGTTAAGTTCAGCTCAGCCCCACAAGCCTTATTCAGTTTACACAGGGCTTGTTTCTCAGTGGATAGGAAAAGGACAAGGCACAAAACCAAACCATGCAAAGATATTTAAAGTTTCTGCTCACTAATTGTCAGCTCAAGTTTCATTGGTCATTTCAAGGCACAGGCACAGGGCCAAGTCTGAAATCCACGCATGGGGTCAAGGGGGTGGACTAGGTCACAGGTGGAAAGGGAAAGACGAGCTGTCTCCAGGCAGAAAATTATTCTTTTCACCAAAATTTTCTAACTTAATATTATAAAATATTCAGCATATCATATTATTATATCTTTACTGTTTTAAAATGTGTTGATGTTATCTTCCTGTTCATTTCTGATCCTGTCAATCTGTGCCTTTCTTCTCTCTCTCTTTACTTTTTCAGTTAAGTTCTGTCAATATTATTGTTCTTTCCAAATACCAGTGTTCAGTTTTGTTAATTTTCTTTGATGCATGTCTTTTAAATGTTTTATTAGCTTTTACATTTTTCCTTAACACTTGCCTCTACTTTCCATGAGTTTAACTTCTTTCTCTTTTTCTTTTTATAGAGATATAATTGATATACAGCACCATACAAGCTGAAGGTATACAGCGTAATGATTTGACTTACATATATTGTGATATGATTATTTAATTAATGTCAGGGAGGGGGAATTTCCTCTCTATTCCTCCTGAATTCTTGTGGCTGGACCAATAATAAAACTGATACAGGCAGGTTAGCAGGAGAAAAAGAAAACAAATTTAATTTATGCACACAGAGGTCTCATAGAAATGGGACTTAGGAAGTGGCTAAAGCAACTTTTATACTATTTAGACACAAACCCAATAAATTTGTGAAAAATAGGCCACCCGTCTTTATAACTTGTTTTATTGGAACATAACCATGTCTATTCATTTACATACCACTATCTATTTCTGCTTTCATCTACAATGACAGAGTTATGTATTATAGTTGTAACAGAGACCATATGACCCCTGTATATAATAAGGAACTCATAGCTTAAAATATATATTTGATAAATTTAACTCATTTTACTCCCATACCTCATTTCACTGTGCTTTACTTTAGTGAACGTTATAAATACATGTTTTTACAAATTTAATGTTTGTGGCAACTGTGTGTCAAGCAAGCCTGAAGTGAAGTGACAGTTGCTCAGTCATGTCCAACTCTGCAACCCCATAGGCTGTAGCTCTCCAGGCTCCTCTGTCCCAGGAATTCTCCTGGTAAGGATACTGGAGTGAGTAGCCATTCCCTTCTCCAGGAGGTCTTCCTGAATCAGGGATTGAACCTGGGTCTCCTGGATTGCAGGCAGATTCCTTAACTCCTGGGCCA